TTCTCCCCCCGCGCAACACAAACAAGAGAAGCTGACTCTTATTCAACCCGCTCGTCTCTCAGATTCCCACGGTTCTTTACTATGACCAGTATCAAAAAGTCGTTGGCTGGGGACCAGATATCGCTGATGCGCTGGCCCCCACCGGCTACCCGAAACCAGGTGTTCAGAAAGTCGAGTGGTTCAAACTCCAGCTCATGTTGTCCGGTAACACCTATATCGACCCTATCAACCTACCTCCCCTGCCGCCCGGTAAATCCGAAATCGATGTTGCGGCCGATTATCTCTTCAAGCTACGTCAGGCTATGCGTGCGGCACTGCAGAAGACACTCGGCGAAGTGTTCAACCGCGAGGAGCGGAATATCCGTTACTATCTGACCGTCCCGGCCATCTGGAATGATGCCGGCAAGGCAGCAACCAGAGCCGCAGCCATCCAGGCCGGTTTCCTGCGTGACGAAAACGACAACAGGTTAACGCTCGTGTCCGAACCCGAGGCGGCGGCCCTCTTCTGCGCCAAGACCGGCCTGCTCAACCTGAAAGTTCACGACGCCCTACTCATCGTTGACTGCGGCGGCGGTACGGTCGATTTGATTGCGTACGAAGTCGAGGATGAGAACCCGTTCACGGTGGCCGAATGCACGGCGGGATCGGGCGACTCGTGTGGCTCCACTGCGCTCAACCGCAACTTTAGTAACATTCTGCGCACCAAGATTCGCAAGATGAAGCTGCCCGATGGCTCCAAGACGGCGGGTCGCGTGTATGCCAAGTGCATCATGGACTTTGAGAACCGCATCAAGGCTGATTTCCGTAACAACGGTCAGAAGTGGGCTGTGGATGTCGGCATCGAGGCGGAGTTCCCCGAGGCTGGCATCGAGGAAGGTTACATGACCTTCACCAACGAGGAGATTCTCCAGTGCTTCGAACCCGTGGTCAACCGTATTTTGGAGCTCGTCCGAAACCAGATCATTGCCATTCAGGCCCAGAACCGGACTCTACAGAACATCCTCGTCGTTGGCGGGTTCGGCGCCTCAGAGTACCTGTTCCAGCAGATCAAACTGCACGTGCCGCCGCAGTTCCAGTCCAAGGTTGTGCGACCGATGGACTCGGTGGCTGCCATTGTCAAGGGCGCCGTGACGGCTGGTATCACTGAGCGGATCATCACCCACCGTGTGGCTCGCCGGCATTACCTCATGGCCACCCTTCAGCCGTTCAAGGAAGGCTACCACCCCGAGGCGTACCGTGTCCCCTCGCTGGATGGGAAGGACCGGTGCAAGTTCACCCGCCAGATCTTCGTGCAAAAGGGCCAGAAGGTCAAGATCGGAGAGCCCGTCAAGGTGTCTTTCTTCCGGCAAGTTGCGCCGGGGGCCACGCTTATGTACGAGGACGTCCTGTACGCTTGCGATGACGACGTGTGCCCGGAATATACCAAGGATCCTCGTAAGTTTCTTTGTTGTTTGTGCGTCCCCGCTGCATGGGATGGAAAAGATTCTGACTAGACTCAATAGGCATCAAGGAGGTGGTGACGCTCACTTCGGACCTCTCGCGGAAGAACCTGGAGAAGGACTTTGAGAGAATGGACACTCCACAGGGCACTTTTTACCGTGTATACTTCGACATCTATCTGACGCTCGATGGTTCCGAATTCAGCGCCGAGCTGGTCTGCCAGGGTGAGGTCATGGGCCGCTGCCGGGCTCGCTTTAGGTAAAGATATCAGACGCGAGGGAGGCGCAGGCTTTGCGGTAACCCAACGAAGCGGGGCTGAGCGAAGATGGAATGGAAAAGGAGTATGAGGAATGCTTTTTCCTGCCTGGCTTTGGGCAGTTTTCATGTTGACAACAGACGATACCTCTGGCAGAAGGGCGAAAGAAATGCACATGACATTTCTTTTTCTTTTTTTTCCCTTTTTTTCCTTTTTTTTTCTTTTTCTTTTTTGGAGTGGGGGAGGGCCGGCGCAGGGGGGTTGAGGGGGAAGAGGGCACTTTGAAGTTTTCCTGAAGAAACTGGACAAGAGGTTGTGGGATATAAACCCCTGTGATGAATGTCCCATTCCCTCTTCCAGTTAAGAGCAAGGGCCGCGTTACACGAGCACAATATCCTCCTTGACAAAGCCCGGTTCCCCTTTCCGCCATGCTCTTACAGCATCCCCGTCCACTATTCCGTAAATGTAGCACTCCCCGACCACTTTATATTCCCTCACCGTCCCCGCGGGCCTTAGAATGAAGGGAACGTCGGCACCGAACAGCACGGCGCAGACGTCCCCGGGCTGCATGACGGACGGGCCGGTGCCCCAGTAGCCCGTTTCGCGGGTGTTGAAGAAGCGCCGGTTGGAGGAATGGGCCTTGAAGGCAGCGCCAAAGTTCTTCCTCGCCTCGAGTGCAGTATTCATTTCGACCATGCCTCGTATCGGCTTCAGGTAGGTCTCCTGGAATCTGGGGTTGGCATACATGGCGTAGCCGGCGAGCTGCTCGACGAGGTGCTCGGACTGGGCCTTGTAGTAGCCCCTGATGGTCGCCGCGAAGGCGAGGACGGACTCGCCGGGGGGGTACGGGTGCGGTTTCCGTCGGGCGAGGTCCCAGCACATCTCGAGCATCTGCCCGGCGTCCATGCCGATGGGGCCGAACTTGGACGGTTCCATGGTCGGCGTCAGTTCGTCGACCGAGTCGATGAGCAGGGCCGAGACGGACAGTTTCTCCCCCTGGTCGACGACGACGCCGACTTGGGCGCGGAAGGGTTCGCGCTCGGACTTGCGGAGGCTGGCGTCCCATGCCTCCCAGAAGGCCTCGGCGTGGAGCGGGTGCTTCTTCTCGTTCCACCGGGGTACCCACGACGGGCGGTCGAAGCCGGGACGCAAGGACTCGTGGGTCTGGTGGGCCTGGACCAGGAAGTTGAGCGATTCCTGGGCGAGGCTGGCGGCTACCAATCGGTGTTGCTCCTTGAGGTCTAGAGAGTAGTTCGCCTTGAGCCAGGGCTCGCCGGTGGCGGGGTTTCTGGCCTTCGGGTGGCCGAGGAAGGCGTAGACGTGGTCGAGGTCGTTGGTGGCGCTGAAGTAGCGCGAGGCTTCCAGGACGAGAACGAAGTCGATATGGCAGACGGCGGCGAGCTGGTCGGCGAAGGCCCGCAGGGGCGGGGTCCGGTGCATCCACGAGTTCTTCTTCCCGTAGGTGGACCAGACGTTCCAGAGGGCGTACAGCGGGGCGCCCATGAGCGTCTCGGAGGTCTCGGGCCCGAGGAAGTGGCGGAGGTCCTCGATGAAGTAGGCATTGCTGATGAAGGTGGCGATCTCGCTAAAGTCGATGCTCGCGTCTCCCCAGTGCGCGGTGGCGGCGGTGGCGAGGCCGACTTCCTGGAGCACCCAGACGCGGGAGAACCAGGGGAGGTCGAAGAGCCTTCGGACGCATTGTTTGCCGCCGCGTTCGCCGAGGACGAAGCCGAGGACGGATCGCCTCGCGGAGGAGAAGGTTGTGACTTTTTGGCCGTTGATGGTGTCGATGTCGGCGGGCATCTCTTCCTTGGTCGGCTCGAACGTTTCCACGTCGGTGCGGGTGTAGATCTTCTCGTTGATGACTTGCAGGCACCGGAAGGCTTCCGGGGCGGAGTCGGTGGGGTCCGGACCCAGCCAGACGATAACGTCCCGGGCGGCGTCGTAGATGCTGCCCATCAGGTCGACTTGCTGGCCCTTTTCGATGGTGTCGGCCTGGTTGATGCAGATGGCGTCGGCCCAGGCGAACTGGACCTGGTCGTCTTTGCGGATGCGGGATAATCCGTCTGCGAGGCTCCGGGTGATGCTGCAGACGTGCCCCGAGCAGGTCAAGGTGGTGGTTTCGGTTGGGGCGCCCCAGACGTAGGACACAGCTGTGTAAGGGGGAGCATGGTCGAGCTCGGAGGTGAGGAGCTCGCACTCGAGACTGTCGTTGGGCGATCCTGGGTGGATTTTAAGCAGGCGGAAGTATCGGCCTCTAGGAAGAGCGGTGTAAGTGAGCGACTGAGACTCCATGTGTAGAGTTGGCCGGATCGCCATCTTTTCTTTCTTTTCTTTCGTTCTTTTTCGTTCTTTTTCGTTCTTTTTCCCGAAAGGAACTTTGAAGAGAGAAAAAAGCTAGAGGCAGTGAAGCCTGGGAGGAATCGTTTTGTTGTTTTGGGCTTGGCGCTTGCTGAGGGGCTTTTAAGGGGCGGGAGAGGCTGAGCTGCCTGCAGGCCTCCCAGTCCTGACCCTTAGCTATGCATGCATGCATTGCATCCGGAATAAAGTCTCATTATAGAACAGAATAGGAGGACTGGCCGGGGATCTCTGAACAGGTGCTTTGAATTCTTTCCCGCTCGCAACCAAAAATAAATGCCAATACCTACGTACCTGGTAGGCCAACACGCAGCATGTCATCTCTATTAGAGCTCCGCCTCGATATGCTCTTTTTTTTTTTCTTCTTTTTTTCTTCTTTCGAACTCGACTTGAACCTACCGGCCTTTCTTCTCCCTCCTTCTCCGTTCCCACTCGGCCCTCTCTTCTTCATCGCTGCCGCTAAACTCGGCATCCTCGTCGTCGCCACCCGCGTCCGCTTGTTGCTCGACGACAGCAGCGGACGTCTTCCCGGACGCGGCAACGTCGCCGGGGCTGACAAAGTCGCCGGCGTTGAGGGCAGCGTATTCGTGTTTCTGGATCAGCTCGCGGAGCTCCTTGTTGGACGGGTCGACGAGCTGCAGGGCGGTCAGGCCACCCTTGTTCTTGACGCGCGGGTTGCAGCCGGCCTCGAGCATCATGTCGACTAGGGCGTTGCCGAAGGGTCTCTGGGCGCGGGGTTCCGAGTTGATCCAGCGGATGGCGGAGTGGAGGGGGGTGTCGCCTTCGAGGCGGTTTATCGGGTCGCATTCGAAGTTGGGCTGGTCTAGGAGGAGGTCCATGATTTCATCTGTTTTTGGGTGTTTCACCGGTTAGCGAGAGGGTGCGCACTGGGGGGGGGGGGATAAGAGGGGAATGTCCGTACAGTTTCCTTGCAAGGCGGCTTCGTGGAAGAGGTGGTTCCCCATCACGGTGGTGGTGTTGTTGAGGATCTTGGAGAGTTGGTCCTCATCAGGGATGCCGTCGATGATTTCTTGGAGAAGGTCGGTGTTGTTGCGGCGGCAGGCTTCGATTAAGATCTCCTTAGTAGAGGCGCCCTGTAGGTGGAGGAGACAGACGGCTGGTGTTTAGCTACGAGTGCCGAGGACCAGGAAACTAGAGGAGCATGGGAGGAAAAAAGAACGGCAGACAGAAGGCAAGACGAACAAAATCCCGTCGAGACGTTGGGTACGACGCGAGCGGCGGCGGACTGGCCTTTTAAAACTTACATCGTGGACTTCGTCGTCTCCCGCCATGGTGTGTGAAGGAGATGGGAGAGCCGGTGATGTAAAGATAGGGACGTATTCGAAGGGGAAAAGGCGGGAAGCGTGGTTTCTGGTTCGGGTTGTTTCGCTTTGGGCGGAGGGGCTCAGTGGGATGGAAGAAACACCCTCAATGTCGGCAGGTGAGGTCGTCCACGGAGAGGGCGAGGGATACTAAATAATGATGTGGTTCTGATCGGTTTCTCGGAGGGAGTTCAGGTTCCCACGTGCGCAAGTGTCTGCCTTGTAGTTTTCCTTTATCCAACGAAAAGCAAGCTTGGGCGAAAAGCGAGGTTTTGTACGCCGTCCCTTCTAAGCGGCACTATTGCGTCGTGAGGTGAGTTTGGGAGTTGGCAGTATGGAGTGGACCACGGGCGAGTTCCCTTGGCGCGGGACGACGCAATTGGGGGGGGGGGGGGTTACCTAATACGGGCCCCACTCCATGTTGTGTGGCAGAGGTGGCAGTGCAGTGGCAGAAAGGGATGGCTTCGCGTATAAGCATGGGCGATGTTTCAAAAATGCAGCTAGAGTTTTATATCGGGGGAGGGGGTTTATCGAGCGCCTAGCGGGGCGGCGGGGCAGCGGGGGGCGTTCGCCAAGGGATTTCTGTACCAAGTAGGTATCGTCGTCCCCCACCATAGTCGTAACTGAACACTCATTCTGAGCCAGCCTCATACATCAGAGGAGTACAACGTCGAGACTCTCGATTCAAGCCAATACCAACGAAAAAAAAAAAAAAGAAGAGAAAGGAAAAGGAAAATAAGATTCATGATCCTTCCTCCTCATCACAGAGTGGAGCGAAGCCTACCTCCCTTCATCTTCTTGTTCCTATAAAATTTTGCTTTCCTATAGAAGATCCCGCGATGCTTCTATGTACGGGCCCAAATTTCATCTCACGCGCTCCCCTGTTTCTCACGGTCTCCAACTAACACAATATAGTCTGCCCAAACTGCGCCAACATCCTCACCGTATCGTCGGTGGCCTCAGTGCGCAACCGGCTGGAGTGCCGCACGTGTCCTTTCGAGTACCCCATCACGGCGCCCATCTACTCGCGGCGCCACTTCGAGCGCAAGGAGAGGGATATCGTCTTCGGCGGACCGGGCGAGTGGGACAACGCCGATAAGACGCGCGCGCAGTGTCCCCGGGACGGTTGCGACGGCGACGAGGCCGCTTTTTTCCAGGTGCAGATCCGGTCGGCCGACGAGCCCATGACGACGTTCCTCAAGGTTGGTGTTTCCTGGCCTGTGACGTCTTTTCGTCTTTTCGTCGTTCCCATCTGGCTTTTGAGGCTGACGGTTGTGTGATAGTGCATGACGTGTGGCCACCGGTGGAGAGAAAACTGAACGGAGAAGAGTGGGAGAGGGAGAGCAGCAAGGGGGCTTTTGTCCGCGTCCACTCTTTTCTGGCTGTATGCTTAATTGGTTTGGTTTATTTTATCGCATTGGCAAGGTGTTAAGGTGGGGGGAAAAAATTAGAAAGAAGAAGAAAGGGTATCATCGGTGAATGGGGGGGAAAAAGAAAAAGAAATAAAACTAAGAAAAACGCCCCTTGTTTCCATCCTCGTTGCATCGTGAATATATAGAGCCCCCCTCTCCCCTTCTCCTCCTAGATCATGCCTCTCCCCTGTGCCATTCAATGGCGGCGCGCATGTTGTCGTCCACCAGCCTCTGCACCAGGTCGGGGCTGATGATGTCCTGTCGGAATTGTTCTTGCCGCAAAAGTTCCAGGTGGCGGAGCGTCGGACCGGGGTACATGAGATACTTGAGGTAGGGCGGCCGGGACCAGTATTGGAGGTAGGCGAGGTAGGCGACGAACTCGGGTTTGTTGAGGAATTTCTGGGCGGCGAGGTGGTTCAGGTAGTATGGGTTCGCGAGCGACTGAACAAACTGTGATTCTTTGTTTTTTAACTTTGGCTCTTCTTCTTCTGCTGCTTGTGTACGGAGTAGAGGATGAAGATCCGGACGACAAACGAACCTCAAGTTCAAGCTCGAAGCGGGTGAAGCCACCGTAGATGGGTTCCTTGTCGCCCTGGTCATGTTCGCCTGACGGGACGGGAGGGGATGTCTCCATGGGGACAGGGGCGTTCTGATCGACTTGGCTGGTGGCCATTTTGCTGTCCCCTGGCGTCGAGTGTGGAAAGAAGGCCCAAATGGGAAAAGAAAAAAAAAAGAGAAAAAAAAAAAAGAGAGAAAAAAAAAAGAGAGAAAAAAAAGGCGAAAAGGTACGTTCGAGGTCCTTTGGCTTTTGTATTCGTGATGACGGAGTAGTAGCTGGAGAGGTGACCGAAACAACGGATAGGTACCTTATGGAGCCGGGGGACGGGACAAATTCCTTATCCGTCGCTCCGCAAGAGGTACGTACCTGTACTCAGAAACGCTGCTATGTCATCATCGGCCCCTCTGTAGGTACCTTCACAGCTTAATGCTTCCTCAAACGTCTCCCGGTTTAAATAAAAATAAATAAAAATGCACTCTTCAATACGTTGACGGGATTTAATAGAATGTCTGCCTATTCTATTTACAATCATCATTCCACCTCACCTCCGCCGAGCCCTTTATCCCCCTTTTTTTCGCCTTCCCCAACTTTGTGTCTTACTGAGAATAATGATCTGCTGCTGCTGCCCAGGGAATACGTCAACCCCATACACCATCATTGATTGCATAGCCATCCTCGAGTGTTCTCGTTAATCAAATGCCTTCACCTTTCCTACCTATTTCACTTACATGCCCGTAGCCAGCCTTACCTCTTCTCACAGTCTACGTCTACTGCAGCCCGGAAACGAACCATGGCAACAACACCTGCCCGTCCCGCCGTCAAGGTCAAGACACGCATCTTGATCCTATCCGACACCCATGGTCTGAAACCCCAAGACTCGCCCGGAGGGCCCAAGGGGGCCAAAGGCACGCCTCCCTCGGGCTATCGATACCCTCTTCCCGAGGCCGACGTCGCCATTCATTGCGGTGACCTGACGTCCAACTCCAACATCCCAGAGCTCGAGGACACCTTCTCCATGCTCCGTCAGCTTTCCGCTCCGTTAAAGCTTGTTATTGCTGGTAACCACGACCTGGCCCTCGACCGCAACCACTGGGACTCGGTGGTCGAAAGCCTTGAGGCCCGCGGTCGCATTCCGCTGCCCGTGGTCGAACAGTACAAGCGCTGCCCGGTTGAGTTTCAGCGTATCATCGACGCCGCCCGCCAAGACGGAGTCATCTACCTCCCCGACGACGGCGTCTACGACTTCGAACTGGGCAACGGCGCCCGCCTGCGCGTCTTCGCGTCCCCCATGACGCCGAGCTACGGAGCCTGGGCCTTCCAGTACCCGCGCGGGACCTACAAGTTCGACATACCCGCTGCTGCCGGCATTGACGTCGTCGTTTCTCATGGTCCGCCTAGGGGCGTATTAGACAGGGCCAGCAACGGACAGTATGCCGGCTGCGACGAGCTCTTCGCCGCCGTCTGCGCCAGCAGGCCCCAGATCCACTGCTTCGGCCACATCCACGAGGCCTGGGGCGCCGAGCTCGTCACTTGGAAGAAGCCGCCCCCCAGCGACGACAAGTACAACTCGGCCGCCGCCCCACTGGCTCGAAGCAATGCCGTCGACGAGGACGCTACGTTCGTCGTCGAGAGTGCCGACCGGCTATGGGGACTCGAGTATGGTTCCGGGCCGGAGGGGAAAAAGGCGGCCAAGGCCAAGGTCGCCCGCTTCTACCGGGATAAGTGCGTGCCGGTCGATATCACTTCGGCTGGCAGGCTTTCGCTTCGCCCCGGCGAGCAGACGCTCTTCGTCAATGCCGCCATCATGAATCGGTACTACAGACCTGCCAATGTTCCCTGGCTCGTGGACATTGACCTACCGAAGGCCGGAACAGGAACAGAAAAAACCGACGACTGAAAAGGGTGTGGAAGATTTGTTTTCTCATCTCGATTCTTTTCCCCACTCGCATCCCGCAGCGTCAAAGTCATACCATCTCATGTCCTCCCTCGTGCATAAAGAATGCTTGTATAATAATGGCAGTCTATTGCATCAATTTGCTAGGCCTTTTCGATTCAAAACCTGTTCTCCAGGTAAGAACGGGAAAATACAAACAGAGAAGGATAAAAAGAAAAGAAAAGAAAAGAAAAGAAAAGAACCCGACTATAAACCCATAGCGACCCCCATGAATAACGCAATGGCTGTGACTGCCAACGCAATCGATGTTGCAGCCGCTGCGCTCTCATCGTCATGGTCGCCGTCATCGCCAACGTCATCGTCCCATGCCGTCTCTTCAGGCGCCTCGGTGGCGGCAGTTGGAGGCTCCGACGCGACGACGGAACTTCCCCCGACGACCGGCGTCCCCAGCCCGTCCGCGCTGGAGCCGGGTTCCGAAGAGACAGTCTCCGTGGGCCAGGAGACGGGGCGTGTGCTCGTGGCGAAATAAGAGGCGCAGGTTTCATTCATGACCGTCCATAACCGGGAGCGGGCCTCGGCGTCGCACGCGTCCTCGAGGCATGGCCGGATCAGCAGTCTGAGCGCATCCTGGCGAGCCGGACCGCACTGGCAGGCTATGTCCGGGAGGGAACAGCCTATCTCTGGGAGGGTCTCACGGAGGCAGGAAACCTAAAAGGGGCGCAGGGGTAGAAAGTATTAGACGGAGAGGACGGACGGGCGACAGAATAGAGGACGGGACTATTGATTTTTTCTTCTCCCCCCCCCCCTTTTTTTTGTAAAAGAAGAAAATAAAATCAATAGTCCTAGCCTGACTACGTTTGAGAGGAGGGAAGAGAAGAGAGAGTGTTGGTTAGACGTACGGAACATCTGGGATAGTCGAAGGACTCTTGAGCAACGGCTGGAAGGACGATGGCTGCCAAGACTAGACCGTACCCAAACTGCATGGCTTGATTACTACGCTACACGCACGCGATGGTAGAGGGTGGTGTAGCTTGAAGACAGATAGTTGAGCACCGTATCATCAGGCGATGACTTGCAGCCCGAAATCTTTTGAGAAGGGCGTAAATCTCGAAATAAATAAATTCAAAACTCCAGAGGATTGCGCAAGTTCACAACGGAATAGAAGTCGGGGAGAAGAGGGGGAAATTAAGAAGAAGAAGAAGAAGGGAAATCAAGCAACAAAAGGGCATATAAAAGACATAAAATAGGACTTGTCTTTACGTATAGAAAACTTGGGTCCTTGGCCTTTCCCATGGCGCCGAGTAACCCCAAGACAAAGACTTATTTATTCACCACGTTTGCGTGTGATGTGGTGCGTGGATTTTCATTATCATGTCTCGGCCGTCTTATTACTACCCCATATAAGGTGCCCAAGAGAAACTGTTGTCGTGTTTGCTCTTTGCTGCACACCGACAAACTGCCTCATAGGAGAGATGAGATGGTCCTTTTGCTGTCTCCCGGTTGACCCCACGCCTTGGCACCAAGGACAAGCTATTCCGCTTCAAGAGGCCGAGACGCAGACAAGAGAGACACGTGCGTGTTCTCCTGTCATGGGACTTTCTTATACTGGTTGTGAGGATGCCCATGTTGTCGTCAAGTTGAACGCAATCCCCGAGTCCAGTCCAAATGGCAAACTGGTCATCATACTCGACAAAGTCGCCATTTTATGTAAGGTACTCAGGCATCGTAAAACGGGGGGCCTTCCAAGGGGGAAAAAGAAAAGAACCGGTATTATATTTGGTCTGTAGCCTCCCCATGCTTATAATGAAGCGCATAAGGCTATGCTGTGTTGCTGGTCTACAAGCATGCACGCCCAGGAAGACGAAGAGACAGACGCACGACGTGAAAGGCCAACACGGGAATCGGATCGTTTGCCCTCTTCTTCTTCTTCTCTTTTTTGTTCTCCTCCTCTTCTTCGTTCTCGTCCTCTTCTCTTCTTTTGTTTCTTCTCCCTCTCGACCTAAAGCAGACTACCTGCAGTGCAGTGCGCTTGTTGCCCAATGCATCTTTCTGCTGTTTAGATCCAAAATGTTCTCTCCGCCGCCCTGCTACTTGGGATTTTCTCCATCCACCCGCTATATCATGGCGGAAAAGTCTGGCTTTTGCAGATTGCTGCATTTTCTCATCTTCTCCCTGATATAAATCGGATAACTCGGATGGCGAAGACGGATAAAGAGGAAAGATAAAAAAGAAGTCCGTGAAAAAAATGGGCTAGGGGGGGTATCGTGGGAAAAAGTCGTACGCACTCGTCCTCTACTGAATGCATCGCGAAAGAAAGAAAGGGGGGGAGGGAGGCTCGCACCGCCAGGGTCCCAGAACCGAAAAGACGAGAAAACCCACCTCCCCCCCTTCAAGAAAAAGAAGAAGAAAAAAAAAGGCCGGGAATAGGACGACCTATATGCTGGGCAGGTACTCATACATACGGTGTTCGGATAGTAGGGATGAGTCGGGTCATGATACTCATGCCAGAAGGTTGGGTAAGATGTCCGTTTGTTTGTGTGTCGTTGAGATCTCCATCGTTCAAAAAAAAAATAAAAAATAAAAAAATAAAAAGCTGCCGGATCATTAGAGAGCAACGTCACCCAAAGATAGAATCTTGGAAGGGTCGCCGAGGAAGCGGTTGCGGTAGTCAGCGATTCCTCTCGCGATGGTAGGAAAGTCCTTAATGTTGCGCAATCTCATGTCATGCAGCAGTTCGCGCAACCCGTTGTTGAATTGCGACCTCCGCGGTCCATCCAGCGTAGTGCTGCCGAGTTGCAGAAGGATCTGGTCGTCTGTTTTGGAAGAGAGAGGGGGGTATTAGAAAAGGGGGGACATCAGCGTTTCTTACACGGCTTTCTTTGACATGGCAGGACTTCGAGAGCCGCCTGAGATGTAAAAGCGAAGCGACAAGCGACACTACGGAGGAGAGAAGAAATCGGAATGCAGGAAATCGGGGTCACCTACCGGGCAGCTTCATCGACTCGAAGTGTTGGTACTGGCAGTCGCCCCCTCGGGGACATGGCCCGCCGCTGAGCTGGTCGGGACACATCGGGGTGTTGGCTTCGATCTTGTTGCTGTATGTTAGTGATCGCAGGCCTCCCGCCACTCTGCGGTCGAACTCGGGGTGATATCGGTAGTCGCGGAAGCATTGCAGAGGGCTTTCGTAAGGTGTGAAGCCACCGCTACCGCTACCGCTACCGCTACCACTACCACCACCACTGCCATTACCGATACCGCTTCTGCCTCCGCCACGCGCGCGTCGGCCATCGGCAACGTCTGGGTGTTCCTGTCTGGGAGTTAGCCGACTTGGGCCCCCTGGGTGAAGAATGAAAACGAAATATACTTCTCGTGTGCTCCCGAGCCCAAGCCCTGGTTCGGGATTCGAATCGTCCAGGCCAACTGATATTTGTTCCGGGACGGCTGCTCCGTTCACGCCCACGTCGGGCGACGGCATATCCGCATCACGGCTCGCCAGGGGAACAATGTCAATGTCCTGTTCTGTAGCTGCCACATCGGTAGAGCCGGTAGTATGAGCGGCGTCAGCGGTGTCCGAGGCGTCAAATGTCCCCGGTGCCCCGTAAACGTCTTGCTCCGTTTCCGAGTGATCCATCTCCATGCTGGCATCTTCGCGCTCGTTGTCGTCCGCTGCCACCGACTCAGCCGGACCCTGAGGCTCGCTTGCTGAATCCGAATGCGAATTCGAGCCTGAACCTGAACCTGAACCTGAATCCGAATACGGACTCGATCCATGTCCATGATCTGATGGCTCGCCCGTCGTGGTGGGTACTGGTATTTCCGCACCACTCTCATTCGCGGCTGCCATGTCCCCCGTCTCGCCCGGTATTGGGACGGCGTCAGAAGCAGCCATGGTTTCGACTGTCGTGCCATCTTCGGTGGGTGGTGGCTGACCCGTCTCGGTCAGGTTCGGCGCATGATTCGACGGTTCGAAAAGGGAAGTACCGGAGGACGCCGAGGCACCGACATGGACAACGGCACCGGTATCGATTGTAGAAGACTGTGCGTCGTTCTTCTCATGCGCCGAAGCCTCTCCCTCTTCCGATCGAGCTGGACCAGGACTGGAAACCACTTTGCCGTTTGTGGTCGGTCGAGGAATCTCTGCCTCGGCTATTTCACATCAAGTCAGAAAGAAAAAACACAAAAAAGAAAAAACTGTTGCTTTGCAGGAACGAAAAAACGAGGGGGAGGGGGAAATGCAGCAGGCAACTGACCTCCACTATCCTCATCTCGCTGCAGGCTTTCCAGCTCCCGCGCGAGCCTCTGCTTCTCAGCCATGTCGTTCTCAATCTCCTTCTCCAACCGAGCCGCTTGGGATTGCAGCAACCGCAGCTTATGCATCTTGGTTTGGAGCTTCCCATCTATGCCGGGGATGCTCTGGCTGAGGACGCGAACTCGTTCTGTCCGGTACCCCGACTGAGTCGCCTTCGATCTCTGCGAGGGCTTGGGAAGCTTGGCCGAGACCGTCTCAGACTGGGTTTGGACCGGCGAAGAGCGGCCTGTGGGAACGTTCGAGACGTTCGGTGAAGATGGGGAAGCCGCCAACAGCGGCGGCGACGACGCTTTGGGAGCATCCGCCGCGTTGTCCGGGACGGCTTCGGGTGTTTGTCCGCCTGACTTGGAGCTGCTGGCCGGCGTCTGATTGTTATTCGTGCCTCGCGCTTGCATGAGCTTCTTACGCGCCTCCGCCAGGGCGATTCTCCGTTTCATGGCCTCAATCTCCTTATTCATGTGCTCCAAATTCACCGGAGGCGTGGAAGCAGCACCGTTGGCGCCGTTGGGGGCAGGACTGGAAAGCTGGCGCTGGCCGACAGAATCGGCCAGTAGTGGGGGGATGTGACGAAACGACGCCGTTTTCCGAAGCGGAGTGGCCGTCCGCTGGGTGGCGGGTAGCGACTCATCTCCAGAGCCAATGTCCATCTCGACATCCGAGTCATCCGAGTCGTCGCTGACGTTGATGACCAGCCTTTGACTGCGGCCTTCACTAAAGGGTCGTTTGAATGGATGGGGAGGGCCGTCGTCGACAAAGTCCGCTGCAACCGGCCGTTTGCGTTGATTCCCAGTCGCCTGAGGAACGGTGGCAGTATGCGTAGGCGTAGTAGACGCAGTAGGCGTGAAGAGACCAGGAATACCCGAAACACCTTTCGAAGCGGGAAGCGGGGGTTGAGCCGCAGGCATCGAAGACGGGCCGAATATCTGGTTTGGTGTAGGTTGGGGGGGTATGGGGGTGCCTGAAGCGGATTCCGGGGGCATGACGACTGCTGCTGGCTCGGGTGCGCGGGTGGTCGGCTGCGAACTGGGCTGCCCCTTGGGATGCTGGTCTTTCGACTGGGGTCTGGGTCCGGGTCCGGGTTGTTTGAGGGTCTCGACCGCAGCAGTTTCTTGCGACGCGCCCGATGTCGAAGGCGGGACTACAGCGGTGTCTTTACGCGAGGCAGCTCTCTGCGCAGCACGGGCTTCGCGAGACTTTTCGAGAGCCTCCCTTTTCTGCTGTTGTTGCAACTCCTTCGCCGTCAAAGCAGAGCCCGGGGGCGAAGTTGAAGAAGACGCAGGGCGAGGTTCTGCTTCTGCTTCTGCTTCTGCTTCGGGCCTTGGTGGTGTCTGTGTAGTTTTCTGGCTTCCCGCAGAGGCTTGTGATGCAACAGTACCGGGTGTTTTCGCCCCCTTTGCCGCTAGCAGTCGAGCAATCCTGTCCTTTCTTTCCTCGGCCTTGTCTGCTGCAGTTGATCTCGCTGGGCCTGGCGGCTGAACAGGTGGAGGAATCGGAGCAGGAGCCGACGGAGAGGCCGACGCAGGAGGAGCCGATGACTTGGCTGTAGGGGGAGCTTGAGGTCCACCAGCACCGGTGTCTACCCTTTTCGAAGGCTGAGCTGGCTGAGCAGGCCGCGCAGGTTGGGTTGCCTGAGTCGGCGCGGGGGGTGCCAAGCCGGGTATTTGCGGCCCCGTGCTTGTGGGCGTGATGTGCGGAGGATCTATGGTCAGACCGAGTTCCTTGAACAGCTCACGGAGGACCGCCTCGTCAATCCCTTCTTCGACATAGTTTCTGTACTTGACGTTGAGAGGCCAGAGACGGAGAATGGCATCCCGAGCACGCTTCTTGGCTTCTGTGAGTCGTGTCTGCTGGGTTCGATTGATCTCCCGAGAGGATACTGTTTTGGTCGAGCCCAGCGGCTGTGGGGTGTCCATCTGCAACGCAGGATGTGTCGCGGGTTGTATCTCTGTAGGGGAAAGAAAAGGCGAATAGGAGCCGGATCGTTCCCGACCTGTGGCTGTTAGCAAATGCAGAGGGGACTTGTTTTGGATAAAGAAGAGGCAGGGTTGGGCCATGTTTCTCACTAGCAGTATGGGAGGGAAGAGCCCTCTGACCAGCGGCCTGTCCAGTCTCCCGACGGTCCTGTTGGCGTCGTGCCTGGGCCTGGGCCTGTGCCTGGGCCTGCGCCTCTGCCTGGGCTTGCGCCTCTGCCTGAACCTGTGCCTGTACCTGGACGTCATCCCAGGCTGCCTCTCCTGGCTCATAGTCATCATCGTCGTCTTCCTGGCGAGCCGTCGTAGGCTGACCAAAGCTTTCAGGCTCGTAGAGATCGTTGAATTCTCCCTCGGAAAGTTCCCCTTCTTCTGCGGTGTCATTATCATCGGCGGACCGCATTTGGGGTTGTTGGACGGTAGCAGGAGAGGTAGGATGATCTTGACCTCGCTCTTGACTGTGCGGGTTGGATGGGTTCGTGTTCGTGTTCATGTTCGTTGGGCCAGATGAGCCGTCGGAAGCACCGTTCGGATGTCGATAGAATTGGGCGGCGGGCACGAGATTAGGCTCTTCCGCCGACTGCCATGGAGGCCATCTCGCAGCATCTGTGGATTGACTGAAAGCCAGGCCTGGTATTGTGCCTCGGTTTTGATCAAACGAGGTTTGGGCACTTTGGACAGGGGTCAAAGGGGTCACATGAAGACCAGGCACGCTGCCATGTGATGGTGGACCGGTGTTTCCATGAGGCGCAGAATGAGAGTTGTTACCCCCAGCCGGTTGGCCTTGGTACTGGCCATCCCCGTATCCGTACCCGTATGGGTAGTAACTCATCATGTCCCAACCTAGGCTGCAGAATAGACCGCGACTTGACGTGTTCTATCCTTTGATGTCAGTTCGTGGGGATGTGAATATGCGCATAGGCAGGGCCAAGGTAAAAGGAGAATAGTCGATGGCCTTGAAGGTTCGTTTCGCTAAAGTAAGAGGTTGTCGCTTGGTGAAAAGTTGTGCGCGCACAGAAAGAACCACACCGTTCATAGGTGGCACAAGATGGCGGCGAGCCTCTGGTGGATGGAAATTTTGTTGGATGACTGCTAAATGTAACAATCGGCTTTATCCGGATGCTTTGCCGATGATGCAGATGAAGGGGTGCGATGTGGTAGAAAGGGGTCGACCTAACTTGTGGACTGGTGGTAGGTTAGTAGAGAAGAAGCAGCACAAAACTATTCGCGCAATCCAAAGACAAAGCCCCCTTTCCTTTGTGTAGACAATAGCAGCTGAATGTCTGGGATAACCTAGAAGTGTCGGGATGGTATGAAGAGGGACATTAAGGTAGAGAGAGAGGGAGAGAGAGAGAGGGCGTGGACTGTGGCTCTGGACTGGTTGTGGGTTGAGGTCGCAGCAAGAAATTCGAAGACGGATTTCCGAGTTGTTCGAGTGATGGGTCTCGACGCGATCCGAAGACACACTAATCCGGATTGGGGATGGTGTTGTACCCTGTACTTGCGACGGAAATTTCGTTATCGACACGTGATCTTATCAACAGCGCCCCCCCCCCCTTGTTTTGTTTACTTTTGGCGCGGGTAGTCCAAGCAACCATGCACTTTCCCTTTCCCTCAACTTCACGGGGCTGACGAGCCTGACATCACTCACTTGAACCTTTACACCTAAAACAACACCAACATCTCGACCTCTCGACCTCCCCGTCTCCCCGTCTTTCCAAGCCTTCTTTTCTCGCAGAGAGATATCCTTCTCTTCTCTTCTTTTTTCTTTTCTTCTTTTTTTCTGGGGTTCCCTTCGTTCCCCCCCAAGTTCCCTTCTCAACCCTCTCAACTGACACGTTTACTCTGATGTGCCTTTTCCCAGCCAAGTGTGAACCCACCACAAGAGACACAGGACGCTGGGAACGCGTGTATAGGTGTACGAGAAACTGAGACCCCTCTCCATGTTCTCTTTGCGGCAGCCTTGAGTAGCAGGACCTTCTCATTAAGGGCCGCCTCGAGCCTCGAACATGTCATTACGCAATAACCCTTTCTCGAGGGCGACGTCCTCTTCACCCGGGCCCGGCACTGATTCGAGGCCCAAGTCTCTCCTTTTTCCGTCTCCATCGCCCCTGTTTTCCTCATCCAATGCCCCGGCGCCCTCTCCAACTGTCGGAAGCCAGCATGAGACACAACCCTCCGGCTTAGCACCGGCACTCGTCCCGCTGGGCTTATCACATCGCCATTCCCGCAGCGACTCGAGGAATGGCACTAGCACGCCCATGTCCAACACCTTCGCACCCTCGTTCATCAAGAGCGAGGAGATGCGGCGTGTCATAGACCCCGTCAAGGGTATCGAGGGCGAGAACGACTTTTCGGGGAAGCGCTATGTGTGGCTTAAGGACCCGCAGGTGGCCTTCGTCAAAGGTTGGATTGTGGAGGAGCGAGCAGACAACCGGATATTGGTTCAATGCGATGATGGTACGGTAAGTAATCAACTCTTCAACTTCCCGTCTTTCCATTCCAACATTCCCAGCTTTTGCCAGTTTGTGGGGAGACACAGCAAAATAGAAAAGAAAAGATAGCCAGCGGGGGCCTTCTGACACTAGAAATCAAATAGCAACGAGAAGTCGACTCCGAAAGCGTCGACAAAGTGAACCCTGCCAAGTTCGACAAGGCAGACGATATGGCCGAATTGACCCATCTGAACGAAGCCTCTGTCGTCCACAACCTCCACATGAGATACCAAGCCGACCTGATCTACACCTACTCGGGCCTTTTCCTCGTCACCGTGAACCCTTACTGCCCGTTACCCATATACACCAGCGAATACGTCAATATGTACAAGGGCAGGAGTCGGGACGATACCAAACCGCACATCTTCGCCATGGCCGATGAAGCATTCCGGAACCTCGTCGAACAGGGGGAGAACCAAAGCATCCTCGTCACGGGAGAGTCAGGCGCCGGCAAGACCGAGAACACAAAGAAGGTCATCCAATACCTGGCCGCTGTTGCCCACCAGGACAACCCGGCCAAGCCACGGTCCCAGCAGCAGTCCAACCTTTCCCAGCAGATCTTGCGCGCGAACCCCATACTGGAAGCCTTTGGCAATGCGCAGACCGTACGCAACCACAACTCTTCGCGCTTTGGCAAATTCATTCGGATCGAGTTCAGCCGTACCGGCTCCATCGTTGGCGCATTCATCGACTGGTACCTCCTCGAAAAGTCTCGCGTTGTTCGCATCCACTCGCAGGAGCGCAACTACCACATCTTTTACCAACTTCTCAAGGGCGCCGACCTCGTCTTGAAGCGGGCCTTTCTCATGGACGGCATGGACGTGGACGACTTTGCATACACCCGGGACGGCCACGACAGCATCGTGGGTGTCTCCGATCGAGAAGAATGGAAGTCCCTGATGGATGCGTTCAATGTCATGGGCTTCTCAGCCGACGACCAGCTCGCCATTCTGCGCACCATTGCTGCCGTCCTCCACCTCGGCAACATCTCCGTCGTCAAAGAAAGCCGGGCCGCCGACCAGGCCCGGTTGGCCCCAGACGCCAAGGGCCAGGCCGCCAAAGTCTGCAAGCTGCTCGGCGTGCCCCTGGAACCCTTCCTCAAGGGGTTGCTGCACCCCAGGGTCAAGGCCGGCCGAGAATGGGTCGAGAAGGTCCAAACCCCCGAACAAGTCCGCCTCGGACTCGACGCGCTGTCCAAGGGCATCTACGAGCGGGGCTTCGGCGACTTGGTCACCCGGATCAACCGCCGGCTCGACCGGACCGGCACGGGCTTGAGCCTGGACGACCCCCACTTCATCGGCGTTCTGGACATTGCCGGCTTCGAGATCTTCGAACAAAACAGCTTTGAACAGCTCTGCATCAACTACACCAACGAAAGGCTGCAGCAGTTCTTCAACCACCACATGTTCGTCCTCGAGCAGGAAGAATATGCCCGGGAGCAGATCGAGTGGAAGTTTATCGATTTCGGCCGCGACCTTCAGCCGACCATCGATCTCATCGAACTCTCCAACCCCATTGGTATTTTCTCCTGCCTGGACGAGGACTGCGTCATGCCCAAGGCTACCGACAAGTCCTTCACCGAGAAGCTGAACTCGCTATGGGACAAAAAGTCCAACAAGTATCGGCCTTCTCGCCTCGGACAGGGCTTCATCCTGACCCATTACGCCGCCGAGGTCGAGTACTCCACCGACGGCTGGCTGGAGAAGAACAAGGATCCGCTGAACGATAACATCACACGGCTGCTGGCTTCTTCTTCCGACCCACATATCGCCTCCCTGTTCGCCGACTGCGCCGATGCGGGCGACGATGCCGTCACCGGACGCAGCCGGGTGAAGAAGGGTCTCTTCCGCACCGTCGCCCAGCGACACAAGGAGCAGCTCCACAGCCTGATGGGCCAGCTTCACTCGACGCATCCGCATTTCGTCCGCTGCATTCTCCCGAATCACAAAAAGAAGCCCAAGCTGTTCAACAACCTGCTGGTACTGGACCAGCTGCGATGCAACGGCGTGCTCGAGGGCATCCGCATCGCCCGCACCGGCTTTCCGAACCGTTTGTCGTTTGCCGAGTTCCGCCAGCGCTACGAGGTCTTGTGTCGGGACATGCCTCAGGGGTACATGGACGGCCAAGCCGCCGCCGCCATGATGCTGGAGAAGTTCGGCTTGGACAAGGGTCTGTATCGGGTCGGCCTTACCAAGGTCTTCTTCCGCGCCGGCGTCCTGGCCGAGCTCGAAGAGCAGCGTGACGCCCTCATCTCGGACATCATGGCGCGCTTCCAGTCGGTGGCTCGGGGCTACATCCAGCGACGGAGCGCCTTCAAGCGACTCTTCCGGACCGAGGCCACGCGCATCATCCAGAAGAACTTCCACGTCTACCTCGATCTGGTCGACAACCCGTGGTGGCAGCTGCTGACCAAGATGAAACCTCTGCTGGGAGCGACGAGGAGCGCAACCGAGGTGAAGAAGAGGGATGCTACGATCAAGCAACTCCACGAGAAGATGCGGCAAGACGCCCTGGATCGCCAGCGCGTCGAAGAGGAGAAGCGGAACGTCCACGCCGAGATGCTCCGAATCCAGCACACCCTGGAGAGCGAGAGGGTTCTGGCCCTCGACAAGGAAGAAATCTTCAAACGCTTGCAGCTCCGTGAAGAGGAGCTGGAGGAGAAGCTGGCCGGTGCCCTGGAGGACCAGGAGCGCCTGGAGGACCAGCTCGACGACCTCCTCGAGGCCAAGAAGCGCGCCGAGCAGCAAGTCGAAACGTACGGTTCCCAGCTGGAGCAGGCCGCCTCGCTCATTGCCCGTTTGGAGGAGGAGAAGACGCAGCTCTCGGCACGGGCGGCGGAACTCGAGGCCTCCATCGAGGACATGTCGACCAAGCAGTCGCAGAGGAGCGAGCAAGAAGCCGCGCTGGAGAGCGAGATGAAGATGCTCCAGAGCCAGCTTGCCTTGAAGGACCGGAAGACGCGGGATCTCGAGGGCAAACTCCTCAAGGTGGATCAAGACCTCGGCGTCAAGCTCATGAATGCCCAGAAAGAGCTGCAGATGGCCAAGTCGAGAGAGTCCCGCCTGGCCCACGAGAACCGGAACGTGCAGCAACAGTTGTCCGAGCTATCCAAGACGTCTACCGACTATGAGGATCTCGTACGCAAAAAGGAAAGCGAACTGGCGCTCCTCCGGGCCGACAACAAGAAGTACGAGCTGGAACGTCGTGCCTTTGAGGAGAAGAAGAAGGCCCTGCATGCGGACAAGGAGGGCGTATCGGCCAGACTGCGCGAGGTCCAGGCCGAGCTCTCGGCTCTCAAGTCGCAGCAGTCCCAACTTCGACGCGAGGCCGACGACGCCAAGAACCTGCTCGAGGCCCGCCTCTCGGAGGATGCCCGGGCTGACGAGGGCCGCCAAGTGCTGGAGGCGCAGATCAAAGACCTCAAGCAACAGCTCTACGATGTCCAGCTCGAGTCGAGCAGGGAGCGCCAATCTCGCGACGACGTCCTCCTGTTGGGGGAACACAAATTGAATGCGCTCCAAGAGGAATACGACCGTCTGAACGAGGCCAAGATCATCATCGAGAAGGAGCTCTACGCCCAGCAGGATACTCTCCGCCGGACAAAGGAGGCCAGGGCTACGGCGGAGGAGGAGCGCGACGGGGCGCGCGAAGAGATCAGGCACCTCCGGGCGGCCAAGGCCCAGGCCGAAGAAGCCCGCTCGCAGGCAGAGGCTGCCGGGGAACGCGCCGCCACCCGAGCCGCCCGCGAGCGTGAGGCCAGCCTGCGACGAGACCTGGACGCGGCCCAGGAACGCCTGTCATGGTTCGAAGAAGAATGCGCCAAGCTCAACCACCAGATCGAAAACCTGAACAAGCGCATCTTGTCCTCTGGCGAATTCAGTCTCAGGAGCGACCAGGTCAAGGAGAGACTCGAACGCGAACTACACACGGTCAAGAGCCGGCTCACGGCGTCCGAGAACGACAATCGCGCGCTGCTGAACAAGCTGCAGCAGAAAGGGCTGGAGATTGCGCGGTCGACGTCGAGGGCCAGCGAGGCCTCGCGCGGCCAGATCGTGTCGCTGCAGCGGGAGAAGAACCGAGTCGAGGACCAGAACGGCAAGCTCAACAAACAGGTGGCCGAGGCGCAGCTCACCATCGCCGGCCTCGAGAAGAAGGTGGAAAAGCTGCAGTTGAACGTCGAGGACCTGACGCACGAGGTCGCGCGGGAATCCAAGGCGTCGCGCAATGCCGAGAAGCAATCCTCGGCAGCTACCGCTCAGCTGGCCGAGGCCAACCGTGCGCTCGAGTCGGAGAGACACCTTCGGGGCCAGACGCAGACGACGCTCCGGACGCTGCAGTCCACCTTGGAGTCGCGAGACAAGGAGCTCGAGGAACTCCGCGCCCAGATGCTCAGGGTGCTGAAGACGGTCGATCCGGACGTGGCCGTCCCCGCCGACGAAGGGGATGGTGGGGCTCGGCGGAATTCCTTCACCAAGAACTTCGACCTCGTTAGGAAAGTGGAAGAGTTGCAGCAGAGCCTTCGCGTGCAGACGGCCGCCACGGCGAATGCGGAGGCGCAGCTTGCCGAAGCCCGAAAGGCGCGGATGGATTTCTCGCCGGCGAGACCGAAGCTGGAGGAGATGCACCCGAACGACGAAGCGCCCTTCAACGGGTCGCCGACGCACAGGGGGCGGCCGAAGCTGCAGGCGCGGAACTACTCGAACACGTCGACGCCGACGCGGAAATTCGCCGCCACCACCGCCGCCGCCGCCCCGGAGAACACGAACAACGACGCGGCGGGATTGATGGATTCGACTCGATCGGACCGGACTGCGGACATTCTGAGCTTCAACAACCGCATGGACCTCAAGGCGGAGGTGGAGGAGCTGCAGAACCAGCTACAAATCGCCGAGATGCAGAACCGGCACCTCCAGAGTCAGCTGGAGCGCAGCACGCCCGGCCCCGACGCCAACGGGGACGCCTACCCCGACCAGAGCCCGTCCCTGCGCCGGATGCAGAAGCTGGAGCAAGCCAACAGCCGACTGCACGACATGCTGGACGACTCGACGGCCAAGGTATCGGCTCTCGAGAAGGCGATCCGGAGCGGGGAGCTCTCGCTGCGCGACATCCGGACGCGATCCCACGAGGAGATCCTGGACGTGCTCAACAGCCAGGAGGAGTCGCGGAGGGTGCTTCTTCACAGCCACAGGGACGCCATTGCCGAGCTGACCGACGTCAAGGCCTACTTCGAGAAGCTGCGGCACGACCGGGCCAGGATGGAGGTGGAGCTGCGGGATGCCAAGTCGGACCTGCAGGAGATGACGGCGGCGCGGGAACAAGAAGCCACGGGCCGCAGCGAGCTGCTCCAGGAATTCGCCGACCTCCAGATCCGGCTCGATGCCGAGACGTCCAAGCTGGCCGACGTCACGTCGAGCCTTCACCTGTACAAGAGCCGGGCCGACGAGTATTTCAGCAAGCTCGAGCAGGCGGAGATTGCGGTGCTCAAGGCGAACCGGGCGGAGCAGTTCGCCAGGGGGCAGGCCAAGGAAGCGGAGGAGAGGTGCGCGGAGGTCATGTCGGAGCGGGAGAAGATGGATGCGGCGGTGGAGGACCTGCAGCGGCAAAACCAGCGGCTGGAGGAGAAGGTGGAGGACATGGCGACGGACCTCGAAGCGGCGACGCAGGCTAAGAAGAGACTGCAGCACGAGCTGGAGGACTACCGCAACCAGAGGGCCAACGACATCGAGGACAAGGAGTCGAGCATGGAGCAGACGAGGAAGAAGTACCAGGCCGAGTTTGCGACGCTCACCAAGGAGCTGGACCTCGCTCGGGAGGAGAAGTTGTTCAAGCAGGCGGAGATTGCGCGGCTCCGCGAGGAGCTCGACGAGCTGCGGTCCAAGTGGGACGACGAGGTGCTGAACAGCTCGACGTGGTCCAAGGAGAAGGCGCGGCTCGAGTCGACGCTCGCGGACGTGGTGTCGTCGCGGGAGGAGGCGGTGCAGGCGCACAGCGAGGCGCAGGCCAAGGTGGTGTCGCTGCTCTCGCAGGTGCGGACGCTGCGCACGACGGTGGACGACGTCACGTCGGAGCGCGACCTCCTGGTGCGCGAGAAGCGCAGCCTGGAGGTGCGGCTGGAGGAGGCCAAGAGCGGGCTGGAGGACCTGGCCAAGGGCGACAGCCCGTCGCTCCGGGACGCGGCCAACGCGGACAGGGAGATGCTGGAGCTGCGGTCGAGCCTGGCGCAGCAGGAGGACATCGCGGCGGCGGCGGTGGAGAAGATGCGGCGGGCCGAGTCGCTGGTGGCGGAGATGCAGAAGGATGTCACGGTGGAGCGGGAGACGAGCGCGGAGCTGCAGAAGGCGAAGGCGGCGTTGGAGAAGTCGCTCAACGAGGTGCAGATTAGGCTGGTGGACTTGGAGACCAAGGGGTACTCGAGCGCCAGTCAGGATATCAAGTTTCTGCACAAGCGCATTCATGAGGTAGGCTCTCTTGTCACACACACACACACGCACTCTCTGTCTCTCTCTCTCGCGTTCCATCCCCCCTCCTCCTCCTACATCATAACGGCATACTAACCCAGACGAACAACAGCTCGAGACACAGCTCGAAGAACACGAGACAGAGCGGACCAAGTCGCAACGGTCGGTCCGTAACGTGGACCGGACGGTGAAGGACCTCCAGAGCCAGATCGACCGCAGGGACAAGCAGAACGCGCAGCTCGCGGACGACATGTCCCGGATGCGGGACAAGGTCGACAAGCTGCTGCAGACCATCGAGGAGCTGCAGGCGTCCGAGTCGGCCAACCAGCTCAGCGCGCGGCGGGCGGAGCGGGAGCTGCGGGAGGAGAAGGAGAAGAGCCTCCGGCTGGAGCGCGAGCTCGAGAACGTCACGACGCGGCTCGAGATGGGGGCGGCGACCTCCATGGGCGGGAGCTTGCGCAAGTTGATCAACGGGCATGGGCATGGGCATGGGCATGGGCCGGCGGCGTGGAGGACGGGGCTCCATGGGGATGAGGATGCGGTTTCGATGATTGATGTTCCTAATCGGAAGAGCAGCGTTAGTCGCGTGCCGAGTCTGACGAAAGGGTTTCTATGACGGGGGGCTGAAGACTGAGTGCGCTCCCCTTTCGTCCCCGCGTTTTATTGTTTTGGGATTTCCAGCCTATTCGGGGTTTCTAGATGCGCGATCAGCAGACCGGTATGGGGGTGTTTTCGTTTTCTCTGGAGATTGTTTTGGGAGCGGCGTTGGAAAGATGCATTCTATGTTTGTATGGTGCATGATGGCTGTATACGGTGGTAGAAATGGGATTGATAGGTTATTATTGTATGGTATGGTTTTATGATGGTTTCGGACGGTCCTGTTGGCAGGATGAAGCTGAGGGAGAAGCCCTTCAGAGACTATTTTATATTGCTGATTCAACACTTGGCCTTGTTATTTTATAACGTCTAACGCTCACGTTCGATAGGAGAATAAGATGATCCATCCCTCGGACACGAGAACTATCAGGTTGTGTGGTTGACTTGGGAGGAGAGATCAGGGGACGCGGACGCCGTCATGTCATTGCATTGTAGACGGCGGCGTTTCGGCTCCATTCGAATATATTCATGTCAACCATCACGCACCTCGATATCAACGTCTGATGCATCATATCATCTCGTCCCGCTCGCTATTCATGGGATTTGCAAAGATCAACCCCGCGAGGCCTGTGTCGTTGCAGCACAACAAGTAGAAAAAGAAGAACAAGAAGAAAAGACAAGGACAATCACCTAGCTCTCTCAAAACGCTTCACATCATCGGGCATACGGTAGATGCACAGCTCGTGGCAAAACTGGCCCCATTCCCCGCCCGTGCCCTCGCGGACGGCCTCCTGCAAATCGGCGCCATAGCGGGTCCGGTAGGCCTTCTTGATGGCCTCCATGTGGTGCCTGTCCCAATGGAAGCGAACGAGGCGTGAGGTGAGCAGCTCGCGGCGCAGCTCGTCGCGGCGGGACGCGGTCAGGGCGTGGTGGATGAGCAAGGCGTCTCGGACGGGTTTGTTGATTACGCCGTTGAGAATGTGTGCCAGCAATTCGCCCTGCAGAGATTTGTGTTACCTTTTTTCCTTTTTTTTCTTTCTTTTTTTTTGTTTTCCTTTTCAGTTTGGCGAGGGAAAGGGGGAAAGGGGGAAAGGGGGAAAGGGGGAGGAAGTAAAAAAAAAAAAAAGGAAGAAACGCACCACCAGGTTACCGCTCTTCTTGAGGGCATCGCGAGCGAAATTGCTGCGGTACAAACGTTCATACATCTTCAGAATCTCCCGCAGGTGCGTATCGCTCCTCTGCACGACGATGCTGATCATAAGGGACTCCCCACCCCGCTCGGCCTTGACGGCGCGACGCAGGTCGTCGACATCCTGGTCGACGAGGCGGTAGTCCAGCGGGAGAGGGCGGCCGTACGAGTCCACATCCTCCATCCTCCGCTCGTCCAGCACGAGAAGGACGGCCTTCTTGAACTTGTCCTCCTTCAGCTCGGTGCGCATGCACTTGGCCAGGCTGTTGTCGTACTTGCGGTCGGTGAAGGCGTCCTTGATCTGGCGGATCTCGGCGTTGGTGCGGCCCATGAGGCTCTCGATGAGCAGCTCCCGCCGCGTCTTGTCGCCCTGGTACCAGAAGTTGGCCCAGTAGGCCTCGCTCTCCCAGCGGCCCAGGGCGACCGAGTAGCAGGCCTTCATGAGCTGCGGGTCCGAGTCCTTGAGGCGCGACCGGATGTGCTTGGCCACGTTGACGCCCTTGCGGTCGGGCCCCGTCTTGACGAGCGCCTTGTACTCGCGCCGCAGCTCCATCACCTGCTCGTGCGTCAGGCCCGGGAGGATCTCGATCAGCGGCGCCGTGTTGGGCGGCGCGTCCCGCTTGGTGGCCTTGAGGGCGTTGGCTAGGCGGGCGGCGTTGTCCTCCGGGTCGTGGAAGCGGGCGCGGCGATTGCGCTTCGTGCCTCCACCGCCGCGCTCGTCCTCCGAGTTGAGGGGCGAGAGGGGCGAGAGGGGCTCGGCTCCCACGTGAGAGCCGCCCTGGGAAGCCAGGAGCAGGGGCGACGGCATGGGCGACATGTCCTGGTAGGTGCCGTGGTATGACTCGAGCAGGGGGGAACCGGGGGCGGCGGCGAGGGAGGTGGCGACGGGACCGTGGGGATTACCGACCGAGAGGGAGGACATGCGCTCGGTGGGGGGGAGCGGGGACCGGGATCGATCACGTCTCGAGCCCCGCCTGTCGCCGCCGGGTTCGACGGTAAGGACGTGGGGTCTCAGTGCTGCAGGGTCGTAGGCAGGGTCGCGGGGGGGCTGTCGAACAGCCGGGTTGGGGCTCGCATCTCGTTCGCGCCGGGGCTGGTATGAATCGCCGTAGTGAGCAGAGCCGTAGGCCACTGGTGCAGGTTCAGGTGCAGGTGCAGGTGCAGGCGAAAGTGGGTTATCCTCTCGAGGTTCCCGGTCGCGACGGGGCCTGCCGTCCTTGGCGTATTCGTATTCGTACGACTTGGGATCGGAGTATTTGTACCTCCCGGGAGGAGATTCGGGACGGGGCGACTTGGCTCTCGAGATGCGCCGTTCGGGACGCGCCTCTTCCTGATCGTCACCCAGGTAGGCATCTCTATCTCTTCGGCTCTTTTCGCGGTCAGGGTCGCGATCTCGCTCACTGTCCCTGTCTCGCTCGCGGTCTCGCACGCGCCCTTCATCATCAGCATATCGAGCCCGACGAGCCCTCTCCCTGTCGGGATCCCGGTCTCTTCCCCCTTCCCTCTCCCTCTCACGGTCCTTGTCCTTGTTCTTGTCCTTGTTCTTGTCCTTGTTCTTGTCCTTGTTCTTGTCCTTGTTCTTGTCCTCGTCGTCGTCCTCGTCCTCGTCGTCGTCACGACCCCGATAGCGCTCCCTGCGACTCTTCTGACGATCATCATCACGAGGCTTATCCTCGGCCGGTGCACTGCTACTGGCACGAGCGTATTTCTGGGGGAGGAACTTGAGCTTCTCATCGTCTATGGGCGATACAGGGGGCGGCTCGTCTCTCTTCTCTCGCCTATATTCGCGGGGATCCCCCGGTTCGAGGTCCCGGCGCACAGGGGTATCGTCGGGGAACCTGTCGCGAGAGGAACGGTAATTGTCGGGAGGCGGGATCTGGTCTCGGGAGCCGCGGTAGTACCCCGGGTCGACGGCGGGGGAGGGAGGACCATCACGAGCGTAAGCTGAGGGGGGGCGGTCATGGTAGCCGGCGTACATAGCACGATGGCCCGGGAACAGGCCCTCGTCTTCGGGGTAAGGGGTGGCACCAGATCCTGCTGGACCTCCTCCACCTCCGACAGGTGGCGCATCCTCGGGTGGAGGCGCATCACGGTGGCGGTGGCGGCGGCGGCGATCGTAGTCGCGGTCATCGAGAGGGTCAAGGTCGTCTTCGGGGTAGGCGTAGGAGGGTTCACGAGCGTCCATTATGTGAGGGACTGCCGGGCTTCGACTTCGCTCGCGACGGCCGCTGGGAGATTTGGAGCGACCCCTGCGGCCGGTCTCGTCGATCTGGAGAGACATGGCCGAGGGGAAAGAGAGGAAAAGAGGAGAGGAGGTGAGGAGGTGAGGAGGTGAGACGAGGCGAGGTGAGACGAGCTGAGGGTGAAGCAGAACGGGGTAGGACGGTAAGGGAAGAAGAAAAGACGGTACGCTTTGCTAATCCATTCAGCGGGACAGTGTAGATGTGAAAGGGCGGGCGTAACGTAAGGCTGAGACCCGATTCGGTAGCACACAACAGAATAGAGATCTTGGGCTGAGTGAGGCTGGAAGTCAAGCTGGAACGTGATTTAATATGTGGTGAAGCTGTAGCGGTACCTACCTAGGTGGGGGCGGCTTGCGTGTACCGTTGTACTGTACGGAGTCACCGTTATACCGACGGGAGGGGCGGGCAAAAGGGGGGCGGTTAGACCCCTAGTGTTCCTTACTAATCCATATCATGACAACTAAGCATGTCTATGACTAAGCATTCATATGAAAGGACCCGTATTTCTCAACGCCATGGATCTCAGAGTGTTCTTCGCGTCCGCGGACGGACTAAGGATAAACACATCTCAAATGAAACCTCATCCCATTCAGGCTCTCACGTCTCGAACCAGTCTAGTTTACTAGGCCGTCGATTGTAACGCCGAAGGAGACACAGCCTCCGGGGTCTCAAGGCCGGCGGCATGGCCCCTGCGGCACCGTCAAACGATTCCAGCCGCTCGTCTCAGTCTCCGCCATCTGCGTCTGCCCAGGAGGGTTTCGAGCCCTTCCCACCTCTCACCCGCTCCTCCACCCTCCCGGCCACCCTCCCGACCAAGGGTGAGCTCGTCACTTCGCCGAGGACAACGACGCTTCCTCACCGCCAGGACCGTTCGCACCTCGCGCCGGAAGACGCCATCTTCGCCTCCCCTCCGCGCCATCATCACGAACATCAACACCCCCGCGGCCTTTTCCCCCTCTCCGACGCCAGCCCCAGCCCCAGCGCCAACGCCAACGCCAACGCCAACGGCGATGTGACCGACAGTGGCCTCCCCTCGGCCGACGACAGCCACAGCCGACCCCGCCGTCATGCCCGGAGCCGGGGCCGACAGCAGCACCGCCACGCGGCTAAGCGCCGGTGGAAGAAGCTTCTCTGGGTGAAGCAGTCCTACCCGGACAACTACACCGACCAGGCCACCTTCCTCGAGAACCTGCAGCGGAACCCCCGCCTGCAGCCGTACGATTTCTGGCCCCTGGTCGCCGACTCCGCCGTCATCGTCCAGCACGTCTGCTCCGTGATCATCTTTGTGGTCTGCTTCGTCGGCATCTTCCAGGAGCGCGTGTCTCCCGTGGCCGTGGTGTCCTGGAGCAGCCTCGCGACTTTTCTCGGTTGGCTTCTCTGGGAACGTTGGGATGCTGACGAAACGGACTCGGCTGTTGCCTCTGCTGCCCCCTATTCCTCTTCTTTTTCTTCTCCGCCCACCAACGGAGACTCGGGCATCATGAGTAGTATCGGGGCGAACGGCGGAATGGAAAGCAACGGGACGAGGGCCGGCCTCTCTCTACCGCCCCCTCCTCCTCCTCCTCCTCCTGCTCTCCCTCCCCACCACCGAAGCTCTTCAGCACGGGTTTCCTCGTCAGGACTTTCCACTGCCGCCTACCCCGCTCTGCCCTCGCCCCGACCCGCCACCCTCTCCCCTTCTCCCGTGCCTCCGAATCCGCGCCGGCTCCGCGCCCACTCGTACTCGATCCCGCCCCGCTCCCACCCGGCCACCAGCCGGACCCACGAACGGCTAGGCACCATCAAATCCGCCATGCTCATCTGGTCGACGCTGCTCGGCCTCTCCCCGATCCTCAAATCGCTCACGCGGTCGACGTCGTCCGACTCCATCTGGGCCATGTCCTTCTGGCTCCTGGCCGTCAACATCTTCTCCTTCGACTACTCCACCGCGCGGTCCGCCTCGGCCCGCGTGCCGGCCTCGCTGTCGACCAACGCCGCCCTGATGGCCTCGACCGTGCTGGCCTCCCGCCTGCCCTCCACCGGCCAGGTCTTCTCCCTGACCCTCTTCTCCATCGAGGTCTTCGGGCTCTTCCCCGTGTTTCGGCGCTACGCCCGCCACCGCTCCTGGTCGTACCACTACGCCATGACCGCTCTCCTCGTCCTCGGTGCCGGCGCCGGCGTGGGCATTATTCTGGGCGACCACCACCACCGCGGTTCCGGTTCCGGTTCCGGTCATGGTCCTGGTCCTGGTCGTGGTCCTGGTCCCCTGTTCTTGTGGAAGAACGCCCTCGTCGGCATGGTGGTTGGCGCACTCGCGTCCGCTTTGGCCGTTGGGGGGTGTAGTTGGTGGCTTATCGGCTTGCAGAAGTACAAGAATGAGATTTATGGGCCCTGGGACCCGGCCCGGCCGATTATTATGAGTCGTCGGCAGTGGGATTGAGGAGTGTGGTGTTGGGCCTGTAATCAACTTGACATAATTAGATGGGTGTTTTACTTTGACCCTTTGGTCTGGAACCTAGAAGAATGGTAATCAAGGCGAATCCCCTTGCGAATGGATGATAGTATATCACGTGCATTCAAGACATGTATGGTGCGTGTTACTGGATAAATACCTTAGGGAGACTCGGTCGGATCTCCGGTGAGAAGAACCCCGTGATGTGCCCCACAGAGCCGATCACGTCACTTATACCCCGCAAAAGCATCTCATCTCCCACTTTCACCTTCACTTCTTCCGTCTTCACATCTCACGATGATGGTTAAGAAAAAAAAAATAGAAAAAAAAATAGAAACAATGAGTGCAAACAAAGCTCCTCAGGTCGATGCCGCCGACTATAACCTCTCGCATCCCATCAACACAACCAACGCCGTCGGCCTCCGCCAAGGCCTCGCTTCCTACGTCTCCCCTGACGTCCTCTCTCCCATGGTCCAAACTTCTTATTCTCCGACTTCCTTTTGAACAATTATTACAATTCTTGTTCCTAGACTATATAAGACGTCCTGGTGTGATGTCTTAGTACATACGACCATACCCACTGGAAAACTCGGGATCCCGTCCGCTCTCCCCTAGATAAGCCAGTGAGGGCCGGATTAGTAGTTGGGTCGGTGACGACCAGCGAATACCCGGTGTTGTATGTTTTTTGTCTCCTTTTTGTCTCTCGTGCCTTTTATGAAGAAAGTCTCCTGACTAATTAACATGTTGTCACCATAATTCCACGTTCGGGAGATATATCAGATACACTTATTAGCCACCTTATCGATGTGTGATAAACCATATTGTGTTAGATGTGTGGGGTATCTCGTTCCTATATATCCACACTTATTTCCCTATCCCTCTAGACGGTCCCAACACAGACTCCTCAGATTAAGCGTACCGTTCTCTGATTATTTCCAAAAGGTCCTGGCCTTGGGGATCGTCTTCCAAAGCAACGAGGTGACCTCTCGGCCTCGGGCCCCTCCTACGCTCATAGCGATTGCGGAAGATGTGCAACGACCCAAAAGCGTCCCAAGGGTCCACGCGCCGAGCGTATTTCTCGGGAATGAGACGTAATGGAGGTGAAATCTCATCAGTTTCGGAGGCTGGCGTTGTCAAAAAGGTGTACAAGCGGTCCACTTGTTCTTCTGAGGGCTGGAAAATGAGACGGCGGCCCCCATTCGGGTAAAGGAAGACATCGTGGCACTGAAAGAAGGCATATGAATTAGCCCTCGAGGGCCCAACCATGTGTAAAGCGCCTGGGAGGGATTAAACAACAGGTACGTACGCCCATTTCGTCTTCTCCTCGGTCAAAAAGCACAACCCCGCCGAAGACGCGTGATCCAGCCCAATAACCGACCATGTCCGCGACACCTCTGGGATACTGATCAAAGGCGTCGTAGGCAGCATGAAGAAACACGGTTGGAGGCCGTGGGGGCTGAGGCGCGATTTGCCACCGGGGCGTCGAAACGTTCGCCGGTGTCCAGGCATGCGCGCCTTTATGGAAACCTCCCTCATACTTTTGATGCAGGAGAGCAGCAAGGTCATGACACGCAATAGCGAGCATTTCTATCAATCGCAGCTTGAAGGTTCGCGAACCTAGCGGCGAATTTTCATAAGCTCTAAGAACCTATTACGGCATGCGAATGAGTTCAAGCCGGTTGCAGAGACACAGGATCGGGAGGGATATGGCAACCGTTGAATTAAAGGCTAGATGCTCGGGGTGAAGATCCGCTCGGAATTGTCGCGCGGTGTCGAGGGTGCCCGGGCAAAGCTCGCGATGCGCCTCAATGATGTCGTGACGAACTCCATGATAAGCATACCAGGTATCTGCCGTCGGGATCCCGTCAATGATCTCCGCGTACGTGTGCTCCGCGATGCTTGTGTGTAGTAGGTTAACGAGGGCGGTGGCGAACGCGCCGTAGTGGTCCGCATCGACATCTTTTATTGAGCGTGACATTCCGCTGACAGCTTCAAGTGTGTTGGGCTTGCTGTCTTGTCTTTTTCGGCTTTTGAGAAGGAACTCTTTGAGAAATGGGGTGGGTGAGAGATAGGTTTGTCCCTGCACCTTCCCACCTGACGCACCAGAGCCGAGGTATGTACATGAGGTAGATACTATACTATACATAGGTACCTATGCACTGCTCCTGTCAGATGCCCCCCTGACGCGCCGTTGTGCCACGGCCCTTTAGGCCCTAATCAATAAAAGGTGCCAGACCTGGAATTCGATCCAGGTCTGGAGAGGGGATTGGTTTTTGAAATCATAGGACCAGGCAATGAGGGAGGCAACCTCAGGGTAGTCATACTTCCGCAACATATACCGGCCGTCTTCCATCCATTCCCTCAGCATGCGCTCCGAATCGTGGGAATTTCCATATTTCTTGCGCTTGCCCTCCTGGCACAGTCGGAAGCCTTGCCATTCCGACAACTGTCTGCTAAGAAGGATAGGGTGGAAACTGCCTGCGAGGTTAAGGTAGTATATGGCGGCAGGGTGTTGTTGTGGTATTCTCGCTTCGATGTCGAAAGGAACGGTATACTCTGGAGGGCGGCATGGCGGACAGCCATACTTGATGAGATCCGAGCGATATCGTTTTTCTAAGTCTACTTCGATTTGCAACAGGCTGTCATCGTCAAGAGGAGACGCCGGAACTGTACTTGCTTCGGAGGGAGCGGACGGCCGGTTTGGTCTGTTGGAGAGATCTCGGAGTCTTTGTTGACGGCATCAATGTCCATGTCGGCTGGTGGAGGGGCTGTCTGTGCCCGTAGTTCGGCAAGTAGGGCAAGACGCTGGTCGTCGTCCTCGATGTTTACGTTGGGGTCCTGAACGATGCTATTTCCATGTTAGATTCGTAGCCATGGTGGTAGTGAGAAAGCTGGCGAAGCCGTACGTAATGTTCTTGTAGCGTTTGATGATTGCGACCATTGAAAAAGGTTTCTCGGCCGACTAACTTCTGGCGATTTGTTCGAGTGAGTGCAGGCATCGTGCGTGGGTAGTGGGTGTGGGGATGTTCGGAGATGGTGCGAAAGGGAAGTAGAATAGCCCCCCCTGACAGTCCCTTAATTTTCTGCATTGTTCCTGCATCGCGATATACGGCCATATCCACGATGGATCCAAACGTCTTTGCTTGGATCTTCCCGAGCGGGAGTGTCTACAACTTTATGGACGCAATCAATAGCAGCGGGAATAGCCACTTGTATGTCCCCTCAACCTGTACGGCTCCTCGGCCACGACAACTCAAAACAACGGCTTTTAACGCCGACTTCACATCTTAGGATCCAGTTCTACCGTACAGCGTTTGCCGCACTGGCAGCGGCCTAACCAGTCCCGGAGTGCCGGACCATGGCCATTCCCACCCGCATTCGGGGGCGACTACCGCATGCCGCAGGGGACACTGTAACAACTCGAAAAAGTCCCTATAAATTTAGTAGGTACACTCTATAGGCACGAAAAAAACACCCGTACGCTATAGTATATATTCGTATATATAAATACCCTAGTAGTAAAAGAAAAGTCTATAACATAATAACGAGCTAATAAGCTATAAGGAAAAAAATTCTACTACTATAACTATAACGCTACCGCTAGACCTAATCTTATTTTCACTCTTTAGATAACTATAGGCTAGTAAGTTACCCGTATATCCGGTTCCGCGCAGGTAAGATCCATGTAAGGTAGTATCAGGGCTCGATTATACGGGTCTAACAGGCTAAGATTCGGATTTTATAGGTCCGGAAGATTAGTTTTAGTGCTTTAACTATACTAGTCTAGGTAAGATATCGCAAAACCGTTCCAGATCAGGGCTAACTTATTATATAATAGGTTATATACTATTATATAAGACGAAACGGTTCCATACGTAAAAGGGTATAAGCAAATAATCTCGAGTAAGAATAGCGGGCGACGAATAGTACTAATAGCCGACAGAAATCGATAGAGAAGAACTACCCCCCCCCCCTACCTAGCTAAAAGAAACGTTAGAATCCCCGCTGCTAGATACCTTTATACTCGACCGCATATCTCTATACACGCTCTATATAGTAGTTTACTAACGATTCGATATATTCGATATACAGAGCTTAAATAGAAGTACGCTAGTACTATCTCGTAGTATATAAATAAGAATAATCCTACCGTATATATCTTTATATTAACGTACGATAATATACGCTAATAAGTATATAGATTAAATATAGAATTACTATACGCCGTAAATATCAGAAAAGCGCGGCTATTAAATTTCCTGATTTTAATATAACACGCTCGCAGGCTCTTTCCGGGTTATTCGTGTAAATATACGGTAATAAGAAGCGGGGCCGCTATCGGTACGATAAATATACTACAGGAAAAGGCATACTTACGTCGTGTATAGTGCTAAAAGACTTCGGTAAAGGCGGCTACGGTAATTATACTATCGGCGCGGGCTTATTTAGTTACTTATTAGCCGGTAAGTTAGTTTATAGTGCTATACGATAATATACTAACTTAAATAGAAGTTAATAAAACCCCGCGCTCGAATAAGCGTAAACGTGTTACCGAAGATCTCCCCGCCGGTAAAAATAAGACCTTAATAACGCTTAACCTCGAGGGTATCCCCACGCGCTATATTACGCACCTTAGAAGGGCGCTAATCGCGGCCGCTAAGGAGAGTAAGTAATATTCTCTATCTTATAAACATATACACTAGCGTACTAATAGATATCCTAGTAGGCGATAATAACGAGGATCTTCTAGAGGATAACTGGTAGGGGTTTTTTTTTTTTGCTTATATACGGCGGCGCCCAGGGTTTTTTTAACACCTAAGGGATAACGCTTTAAATAAAGGGCTTTTTAATAATAATACCCTTTTTTCTTCTTAATTAATTTTAATAACTAAAAGACTTATGATATATATATTATATATAATATACTATACTATATATATTAGCTATACAAACCCGACTTTCTATAATATAAGATAAAGTATATAATAAATAATATACTTATAAAATATACCGTTATTTTATATATTATTATACGGATTATAAATAAGGCTAACAATTAGACTTACGTATATAAGAGTAATTAAAAGGTAGCTACTATTAATAGTATAGCTATTATAACTATTATAAATAAAGACGATTAATAGTTAATTAAATTACTTATATATTATAACTAGTACCTATATATTACGTATTATAAAGAGGATTTAATATCTAAAATAATAGTCTATTATTAAGCTATCTATAATAGATATAAGGATTATAAAATCTAGTATTAAGAGTAGAATACTAAGCTAGCCGCTACTAAAATATATATTAATATTAATAGTAGTCTTCTTTTTAGTATATTACTAATTCTTCTAATATATATTACAAATATACTATATAAACTTACTATATCTTTACCTATAAACCTTTATTAAAAGGCACTATACTATAAGATAAGCGCGCTATTTTATATTTAAACATATTCTAAAAGTTCTTAAAAAGTAGAGTAGTAGTTGGTATAATACTATAATAAATTATAGAAATATAGATATAGCTAAGCTATTAAATACAAAATCCTTAGTAAATACAACTATATAATAGTTATTAAAGTAATTAGCTATTAGGAACTAATTTATAGATA